GCGGGGATCCCCCGGGCGCCGGACGGCCCCCTCCGGCGGCCCCGGCCTCCAGCCTGCGCCTTCATTGCTTGGCGCCAAAGGCAGCAGCAGCAGGAGAAAGGATGGGTACTGCGGTCCTGCTGCCTCGGTGTAGGATTTTGGGAAAGCCAGGGTTTCGCTGGCTTTGCAGTTTGGGCCGTGGTGTGATGTTCCTTTTCCCGCTCGCCTGTCGGGATGGTGACGGGATGTCCTCCCGTGATCTCGGGTGGTGCGGTTAGAGAAGCGCACGGAGCAAGCGGTGGGCTCCTGCGTGTGCACCGCTCGCTCCTGCACGCACGCTGCGGGCCCTGCAGCACCCGGGGAGCTGAAATGCCCGTGCCACGCCGGTGCCTGCGGCCGGGCCGGCAGAGCCCTGGCGTGGGGGTCTCCAGCTCGGCCAGGGAGCGCTTGCTTCCAAAGTGAACTCATTTTTCCCACTTTGTAATTGGAACAAAGATGAGGTCGGAGTTCCCTGAGCACCGGGCAAAGCTGAGCTTGGCACAGGGGGTGCTCAGTGCCAGCTGCAGATCCCGCAGAGCAGCTGGCAGGGCTGCCCTTCCCGTGGGCGAGGTGAGGGACCCGGCCCTGTGTCCCCTCACGGTGCAGGGCTGGCAGGGACACGCTGGCCCCGTCGCCTGCTGCGGGCTGGCCGTGCTGGGCGCTGGGCAGCCCCTGGGGCTGAGAAAGGAAAAGCCATGTGGAGGTGCAAGTTTGAAGTTCCTTGGCTCAGGCTCCCGTCTGAGGCTCCCGAACAGGCTCCTGACAAAGGACCGAACGCGAAGGTCCTCTGAAGGTCCCGGCTTTTTGAGGGTGTGGATGTTTTGCAGGGCTGGGAGGTGACCGTGCCTGCTCCTGCCCTCCCTGGATCTTAACAGCCTCACGCTGCCCCATCTCCCTGTCCCCAGCCTCTCCTCCGAGTCGCCCTCATGCTAAAAGAGCAGCGTATCCTCGCTGTATGGATTCCTGAGTGAGATCCCCTATTTTTTGTGAGATTCACTATTTTTTGTGGCAGCTTCGCTGCTGGCTATGGCCGCTGCGGCTCTGCAGCATCGCAGGCTGGGGAGGGGGAACAGACCCTGGAGGAGCTGACCCGGCTGTGCCGCAGCCGGGGGCAGCCCAGCGAGTCTGGGCAGCTCCCAGGAATTGTTCGCCGGGTCTGGGAGCAGATGTGCTGCAGCAGTGGGATTTCTGCACACAGCTGTAGGGCTTTACGCAGCTTTGGACTCCCTCTGGTGCCGTTCCTCTCCTTCTCACCCCTTTGCTGGGGAGCCGTGTCTGTGGGGGGAGGCAGGACGTGCAGCCGGGGGCTCTGCCTGCGGAGGTGGGTGCCCGACACCTGTTTTTCTTTCTGTTTGGGTGTTACCAGGGTTTTAATGCTGCCCTCGGCATCCGAAACATCAAACCCCGACTGGTCTTTGTTTGCCAGAGGTGCTGACAGATGATCTCAAAGCAGAAATCTCAATTGTTAGGGAAGCAGTTGGAGGCGATGCTGAGCGAGAGCGCCGGGGAGGGGGTGGCGGGGCTGGAGCCCGGGGTCTCTGTGGGGCTGGGGGGAGTTGCTTTTGCTTCCTAACAGGGCTTTGGATGGGTAAAGCCCTGCTTGCTCCTTAGCTCGTTTTGCTGAGCTACGTGCTCCTGAAATGACTGTGCTGGCGAAGGGGCAAGTTGCAGCACAGATCCATAGCCCAGCAATGAGGCAGCGTTGTTAGCGTAGTCCTGGGTGCCTCTGGGAGAGCCTGGGAGCTTCCACTTCCAAAAACAGGATCCAGGGAGGGCACCCGAGGGAAGGCAGAGGCATCTGGGCGCAGGCGAGACGGGCCCCACCTCTCCCCGGGGACGCCTGGCCGGGCTTTCTCTGAGCAGCAGCAGCTCCCGGGGTGGGGGACGCCGGTGCTCGCTGCCCCCGGCCCCTGGGGTGGTGGTGCTGAGCGCTGGAGCGTAGACCCCTGCCCTGCCCCTGCGCCCTGGGGCGGGGAGCTGAGGCCAGGGGGGCAGGAGGAGTGTTCTCTCTTTGGGGGAGTTGAACTCACTGCAGGCGCCAGGACTTTGCCCCCCATGGCGAGCTGGCTGCTGTGTCCTGCTGCTGCTGTAACAGCCCACCCTCTGCTGGGTGTGCTGGGTGCGCTGGGCGGCCGGAGCGCAGCGAGGCTGGTGCCCAGGGGATGGGATGTCCCCTGGTTTCTGCAAGGTGGTTGGGAAGTGCAGCTCCTCTCCGGACAGGGTCTGGAGCCGCGGCCGGGACCGCTCTGGCAGAGCCAGCCTGGGCTGGGCAGCACCGAGCCCAGGAGCGCTCCACGGCGTACGGATGGCGGGGCCGGGCCAGTGCAGCCCTGGAGAAAAGCCCCGGTGCTTCCCTAAGGATAGGAGGGTTGTGTCTGGGGCCTCTGTTCGCTGGAGCTGGGGGATCTGCAGGGCCACCACGTTTGTTGGGAGGTTTTGACCAGGTGCCCTTCAGCTCCCGGTACCACTCCTGATGCGTCTCCGGTCAGACCCCACTGCTAAGGGAATGAGAAGTTGTGGCTGGCTTGAAGAGCTTACGCTGGCCGCTTTGCCTTCCCTGGGGCTTTCTGCATGGCTAAATTTCCTTTCCACTCTGGCTTCCACAGGCAACCATGAAAAAGGAGAAGAGCCACGGCCGGGATGAGGCGGACTGCAGGGCAGAGCTGATCCTCATCAACGGGGACTGCACCGAGCCCGCGAACGACCCGCCCGCCCTTCTTCTGGAGGCGAATGGGAAGCCCAGCGCTCCAGGTGAGCCTCGCCGCGCCTTCCCCAGGATGCACCATGCCCGGGATGCGCAGGGATGCGTGGGGCCAGGGATCTCCCAGCCGCTGTCCCAAGGGCTTGCTGGGGGCTGCAGCATCGCGGCCGTGGCCGGGGTCCCTCCGTGACTCCGCTGGGTTTCTGCTTTCCGGCGGCACGTCCAGGCCATGGTGACAGAAGTGGTTGTGGGATGCTGGCTCTGCCCCTGGACGGTTTAACCCCCGGAGCGAGGGAGGCGGCGAGCCCCCAGCCACGGAGGAGCACCACGGGCCCGAGGGGCTGCGTCACAGCTCCTGGCATGCTCCGGTCCTGGTCCCCAAATCCCCCTCTTGGGTTCACAGGGTCCTGCTTCAAATGAACCGGTGACAAGCCCTGAATAGCGGGTGTGTGGTTTCCTTGTGCCTCTGAGCTTTCAGGAGCAAAAAAGTACATAAGAAGGTCCCCACACTTGCTTTTAGAGTCCCTCCCAGTTTGGGGGCAGGTGGGTGACCTGGGACTGCCGGTGTCAGCAGTACCGCCATGGGGAGCCTCGGGGACACCGCTTGTCTTCTGCTCTCGGCCACATTTCTCCAAGATGAGGTTTCGGTCTCTTCACATCACGCCTCACTGCTTGGAGCAGTCGCGGGCGGAGGCGTGTGGGGGCACGGCCAGGACGGCTCGCAGAGCCTGAGGCCGCTCTGCCTTCTCCCTGCGCAGATGCCGGGGGCCTGGGGCTGCCGTCCCTGAAGAACAACAAGAGGGTGAGCAAGGACCTCTCCAAGGAGGACCTGTCCTGGCCACTCGCTCTCGCAGGGGCGCAGGAGGTGAGTGCTCACCCAGGCCTTGCTGCCCGGGGGCTTTGTGGGCTGCCTGCAGTGGGCAGCGGGTGCCTGGGACCCTCGCCTGCTCCCCTCCGGGCGGCTCTCGTGCTCGGTGCCAGGGGAACAGTCCAACGGCAGATGCAATATCCATTTACAAGCATAATATTTGTTTTCATTTTTAAATTCCTGATTTAGATTATGTCAGCAGCAGCAGGAGGGTGTGGTGTGTGATGCAGTGATGCCCACTACATGTTGCAGCAGTCTAATAATTATGCTGATATTTTCTTTAAAAAGTCTTGGCTGTATTGATGGCCCAAAGCATCTCGTGTCTCCCCCTCTTGGGGTGGCCCGCTTTCAGCTGCTGTGGGGCTGGATCCCAGCTTTGACCCCCCTTTTGTTGACTAGGTTGACAAACCTCCAGGGTCTGGAAGCATTTTCGCCTTCTGGCTTTATTGTTTTGACTTTGAAATAAAACCCCAAGGTTGGAGATCTGCCTGTGACGAGGCAGCTTTTGAAAGAAAAAGCCATAAATCCAGCTGGGGTGAAAATTCTGCTTTCGCACTCTGTCGGGTTCGGGGGCTCTTCACTTGCAAAATCTCATTTCGTTTTGAAACTCTGTTATGCCGGATGCCGGAAATGTGCCTGGGTTAGGCTGTTTGTAAACTGCGGCTGCTGAAACCGCAGGGGCAAGGCTGCCCTGGGTGCCTCTGCAGGGCCGGGCTGTGGGAGGGAGCGCGCCCGTGCCTGCCTGTGTGAGCGGGGTGCTGTGCCCGGGACGGCGGCTCCGCCGGGGCCCGCGGCTCTCCGGCAGCCGGTCCTCCTGGCTCCCGCTGCTCTCGGTCGCGCCGCCGAGGCTGTAGCTGCAAGGAGGGAGGGTATAGGAGGGCATGGCTGAGGATGCACATGACAGCTGGAAGCAAGAGTCGATGTAAACAGCTGCTGGTTGGGCCGCTGCCCCCAGTGCAGGGTGCTGGGGGCTGCAGCAATGGGTGCTCCCGAGCACGGCTGTGCAGCCCAGCAGAGATGCTGCGAAGTCCATGGTCGCACCGAGGGGCTCAGCCCGCGGTGGCTCCCACAGCCGTCCGTGCTCCTCTTGCCTTCCCCGTCCCCCATCCCCAGGGCTCCGGTGCCGCTGGTGCCCAGCCCCGAGGGGCGCGGGCTGTCCCTGTCCCTGCATGCCGCTGGCGTGGGGAAGGCGTCCGTGCCACGGCACCTCTCTGTTCTGGTTGCAGGTGCGGCCCCGGGGCAGCGCCGGTTGGGAGAGCAGCCTCAGGCAGAAGCCCCCCGTCCGCCTCATCTTCCAGGCCGGGCAGACCCGGCACGAGATGAAGATCAAGGAACCGAACAGCGTGGAGACTCTCAGGGACCTGCCAACTCCCCTGCGGGTGAGGGTCTGCGCAGGGCCAGGGCTCCCCTGGGGCTCCCCTGGGGCTCCGGAGACCCGCGCTTCTGTGCCCTGGCCAAGTGGCTTCAGACATGTTACAGCCTCTCCGTGCCTCAGTTTCCCCTGTGAAGTGAGGGGGGCGCATGCTGTTGCTTACCCCTGCTATGAACTGGGGACTTTGAACACCCTGGGGTGAACTGGGGAGAGCAAAAGGGAAGAGAGCAAGTGGTGCACCATTTTCTATGTGTCTTGCAAGTAAAAGCAGAGCAGTTCTCCCTCAGATGCCCCCTCTCCTCCATTCCCGGCAGCGGCGGTGCCCCTCTGCTCCCTGGCTCCCCCTCTCCGATCCCCGGCCGAGGGGCTGGGGGTGACGTGGGGCAGGTCTCTGCTCTCCCCTGCCCCTCTCCCCACCTTCCTGCCGCGCTCACGCTCCGCTCCCTCCACCGCACAGAGCTCCAAGCGGCGCCTGGCCGCGTCCATCCCCGTGACCATCGACCTGACGGAGGAGGACTCGCGGGACTCCTCCCGGAGCAGCAGCACGCTCTCCGGCAGCAGCTCCCAGGAGGGCCAGAACGGCTCTGCTGAGCTGGGGGCCGAGGAGCCGGAGAGCAGAGACGCAGGGATGGCGCTGGAGTACCAGGTATGGAGGGGCCAGACTGTGCTCCTGTGCGGAGATCCTGCGCGGAGATCCTGCGCCTGGGACAGTGCGGGGCGAGGACAAACCTTCCTGGCTTGTCCCAAGCCTGCAGGCGAGGGGACCCTCTGGAAACCTCACTGCTGCTTCTCCTGCCTGCCCTTCCCTGTGTGTCCAGGGCGCGATGGTGCCGGGCTGTCCCCATCCGTGGGGCAGCGGCAGGGCAGCAGGGTTGGTGCTGTTCCAGGGGCACCTTGCTGCAGACGGGCAGCGTGCGGGGACCAGCCCCGCCGAGCCCCTGCCTGCGCCGCACGTGGGGCTGCAAAGCCTCCGAGGGCCCCGAGAGACGCGTGCGCGGCACACGGCGGGCTGGCGGCCGTGCCCTGCCCCGCCGAGACAGGCAGTTGCGTGTGCAGAAAATGTTTCTGTCGGGGGATGTTGGAGAGGAACGAAGCTGCTGGAGCTGCAGAGGAGCGAGATTCAGTGCCTGCGGGCATCAGGGCAGGGCCTGAGACTTGCAGGAATTGGGCAATTGCATCTTGCTGCATAATTAGGTGCCTAATTGCAGAACAAAGCTGGGAAGGAGGCCTCTGCAGGCGGAGGTGACTCTGCTCCTGCGTGAGGTGCCTCCCTGGGCACAGCACCGTGCCAGCATGGCCCCTGTCAGCCTGCCTCTTGGAGGCCCTTGGCATGGTCATGCCGAAATTCCCAGCTCTTCTTTTTCTCCCCTCTGTTTTCGCTCTGCCCTGTTCCCTGCTCTCCCCTGTGGGAACAAGAGGAGGGTGGGTGCCCTCTCCCTGGGGTGCAGCCAGACGAGCTGAGCAGCTTCATCGGCTCGGGGAGCCCAGGGAGCAGCCTCGGTGCAAAGTGCTCCCTGCAGCGGGCAGGACAAGTAGCATCCCCTGCCGTGCTTCCCGCATCCCTCGGCCTTGCCCGTGCCTCGTGGCTCGGCAGCAGCGTGCAGTGAGCCAGGTTCTCCCAGACAAACGTGACTGCGGTGGGTGAGGGGATCGGGGGAGTCCATCTGCGCCCCCCGGAGCTGCTGCCTGCCTGCCTTGCCCATCCCCATCACCGGGGCTGCTGCAAGCCCTTCTGTGACGGCCGGCGCTTCCTAGCTGCTGGTTTGTGTGAGGGCAGGAAAAGGCTTCCCGGTGTTTGCAGAGACCCCGGGAGGGCGGGCAGGAGTGGGCATGCACGGGGCGCCAGTGCCAGCAGGGCTGTGCAGGACGGAGCACGCACCGCGCGGCGCATGCCAGGTGCCGGGCTTGGCCTGGGGCTGGCAACGCGCAGACCTTCCCACCGAGCTCCTGCCTGGTGCGGGGCTGGCAGCCAGCGCTGCCGGGGATGTGCTCTGCCAGTTTTTTGAGGGAGGAGGGTGCAGCTTTTGTAGGTCATTGTGCAGAGGTCCACGCATGTGGCTTCGCTCCGGTGAGTGACACGCGTGGTGAGCAGCTCTGCAGGGTGCCCCGTGGCCGCTCCCCCACGCTCCAGGGCTCTCCTGCGGGGCTGCTGGGATAAAATGGGGAGTTTGTGCTTTTGGCTGATCTGTGTTGTCCTCTTTTGCTTTCAGGATGGGAAGGAGTTTGGAATTGGGGAGCTCGTCTGGGGGAAGATCAAAGGTTTCTCCTGGTGGCCTGCGATCGTCGTCTCCTACAGAGCCACGGCCAAGCGCCAGGCTGTCTCGGGCATGCGGTGGGTGCAGTGGTTCGGAGACGGAAAGTTCTCGGAGGTGAGCCTGCTGCCTGCCCCTGCCTGTGCCCGGCTTTGCCCAGGCTGGAATCCCCTCCCCTGCACATTTCTGCCAGCTCTCCCATTCCTGGGCTGCCTGTGGGATATGTGCGTGCCCAGCGGCAGCCTCCTCGGGCAGGGACCCCCGTGTTCAGCGCAGTCAGGCTCTGGCGTGCTCTCGTGGCTCCAGTGTCTGTAACTAATGGCTGGCCACCGTAGGCTGGTGACAGGATCCAGCAACGGGGACATCTGCCTGGCCTCTTCGCAGGGTTTTGTCCAAGCCCTGGTCTCTAGGGCTGCCCCCGTCACTCCCTGCCTGGTGAGGGATGCCCTCCCGGAGCCCCATTGCCCCTTGGCCATCCTGCGCCTGCCCTGGGCTGCAGGCAGCAGGGAGGGAAGTGCTGTGCCGGCTGCCCGTGCTGCGCTGGCTGTGCCGGCAGAGGCGCGGTGCCAGCAGAGGGTGCAAAACACTCGTCCTAGTCGCGAGTGCGATGCCGCTGCCTCTGCTGTCCTCCCTCTGCCGCTTGTCGCCCTCTGCAAAGCTGAGGCTGGGCTTCCTCGCGCGGCTGCACGGTCCAGACAAAGCCCCGGCAGTGCGGCACGGCCGCGGCCCAGCGCCCTCAGCTGCGGCGTGGGGGCCGTGCTGGGCCCCGCTGTGCCGCAGGGCCGGGTCTGCGGCGCGGGGGCACGGTGCGTGGGGCACGCGGCCGAAGCGAGGCGTGCCCGTGCCTGCTGGTAAGCTTTTGTTGCTCTCCCCCAGGTTTCTGCAGATAAGCTGGTGGGACTGATGGCCTTTAGGCAGCATTTCAATTCTTCCACGTTTAATAAGCTGGTCTCCTACCGACGAGCCATATACCATGCCCTGGAGGTAACCGCGGAGCAGGGACTGGGTGGGCTGGAGGAGGTGCCGAGGGGAGCAGCCGGGCTCTGGGGGGCAGTGAGATGCAGGGAGAGACGGGCTGTGCCCGGGGCGGCTGCCGCAGCTGAGCCAGCGAAGGAAACGCTTCGCTGGGGCAGGAAGAGATGTCCCAGCCGGGAAGCTGGGCCTCTGCTCAGCCCAGGCGCCTGCGGAGCGCGGGCAGTGGGTGGGGAGGTGGTTGGGGCCGGGGCTTCCCGGCTCTGCCCCTGCACATTGCTCTGCTTTGCATCTGGGGGTGGTTCTGGATAACGCCTGTGAGTCACCTTGAGAGCGATCAGCGAGGGAGCTCCTGCCGCGCTCCAGAATTAATCATTTCCCCCATCTGCTGGGTGATGCGGACAGATGTCTGTAGGAAAACCCTCCTTTCTCTGCTGGGATTATTTCCAAGTGCAACCACGGGGCCAAACTCTGCTTATCCCGGGGGATTCAGGAGTAACTGCTGCTGCTCCAGGAACCCCCGGGGCCAGGCTCCCTCCGGGGGCTCTGATGCGCGGCAGCATCACGGTTGCGAGGCAGCGTCACGCTGGCAGGAGGTGTCCCAGGCTGGTGCTAGAAGCCCTTCGCAGCTGGGGCTGGCACTGAGCACCCCGTGGGCCTGATCCCCATCCAGGGGGTGCGTCGTGCTCCGGGTTACGGTGCTGCAAACCCCCAGGCACCTCTTCTGCCTCTTCCTTGCTTCCTGTGCTTGCTGGGGAGCAGAGTCTGGGCGAGAGCTGGGGCTGGGCTGTCCCGGCTCCCAGCTCGACTGGGGCTGGTGGAGGACAGACGGGCTCATCGCAGGGAGGGGAGGCACAGGAGCGCGGCCGAGGGCACACCCAGTGTGGGAATCCGGCAGCTGCCGCTGTGCCGGGGACGCCAAGCCCTGCGCACATGTGTGCGTGGTGGGGAGGGGGCCTGGGACCGCAGCCCCAGCAGGCATGTGGGCCATGCACGCTGCAGCCCGGCTGCTCCCTGTCTGGGGCCAGCCCCCGTCACCCTGGCCCACGCCGTCCCTCCTCTCTCGGCAGGTTGCCCGGAGCCGGTCGGGGAAGACGTTTGCAGCCGCTCCTGGGGAGTCCCTGGAGGAGCAGCTGAAGCCCATGATCGACTGGGCGCTCACTGGCTTCAAACCCTTGGGCCTCAAGGGGCTGCGACCGCCCAAAGCCTCAGGTGAGGTGGTGGCGTGAGCCATGGGGCTGGCGTGGGCAGCAGCCGCCGCTGCCCAGCACTGTGGTCGGCCCCGGCTGAACCTGCTTGCCCTCTGCTGCAGCCGTGCTGGCCCGGTCCCGAGGTAGCCCTGGGGCTCCTTGCTCCTCACTGGGGTCCCCCACAGCAGCATTGCAAAAAGCCGGAGTAAAGCACCCTCAAAACCCTTGCTCCTGGAAGTCGGCGACCTGGCTGAGCCTCGAGCCACGTGTGGGGAGCCCGGGCGGTCGGGGGGGCTCCGCTTCTGGCTGGGTGGGACCTGGCAGGGCTCGGCAGGAGATGTCCCCCGGTGCCCTGGGGAGCTCCTGGGGCCGGAGGTTTGTCCCCAGGGAGCCGCCTTTCCCTTGCAGAGAACGGGGCCCTGAGGAACGGGACAGAGGAGGTGCTGTCCCTCGAGCAGTGTCCCCCCACCAAGAGGCTGAAGACCAACCCCTGCAACACCAGCAAGGAGCAGCGAGTGGAAGAGGACCAGACCCGAGGTAACCGGCAGCGAGAGCTGGGGAGCGCCATGGCCGGGGCCACGCATCCTGAAAAGCACCGGGAAGCCTCTCTGGGAAAGGGCTCGGCTCTTCCCGGGGACCGTGAGCTTGGTTTCCGAAGGCAAAAGCTTTTGGGGTCTCCTGTTGCTCACTTGTGCCTGACAAGACATGAGCAAACCCACCTGCAAAACATGGCACCACAAGCTGGGCTCCTTTAGTCGCTCAGCTTGGAAATGGTCTGTGTGTCGCCACTTTGAGCTCTAGCTCTAATAGCTCCAGCAGTGAAAGGACATCAAGGTTTGCACCAAAATTTCTAATATGCCCATGCCTTGCCATCTCTGTGCAATGCTCAGCAAAGCTGTAGCAGTTTCAATGCAAGAAGCGAGGCATCTGTAAGTAGAGTGCATTTAAAGTGTGTTACACAAGGAATGATAAATCTTCTTTTTTTTTTTCATTTTTATAAAGAGCAAATGGTTTCCGAAGTTACGAACAACAGTGGGAGTCTCGAAGGTAATCGGTCGCCCTGTCTCTCTTGGGGAAAGGTGTGGGGCTGATGCAGGTGCTTGCCGGCAGCGCTAGGCAAAGATCGTGGGTCCCGTTTTAACCGCATCGTGTAGCAAGGGGGCAAGCGCTGCGATTGCCGGCTGCTGGGCCTCCCTTTGTGCTGAGGGGAGCAGGGCGCTGCGCAGACCCTCCCCGCAGGGCCTGCTCCCGGCGGAGCTGCAGCTGCAGCTGGACCCGCGCGCGGGGATCGGACGAGAGGCTCCGGCCTCTGCAGCCCGCGGTGGGGCGGAGGTGGGGGGTCTGCGCGCCCGCACGGGGCTCCCTGCCCCGGCTGAGCGGAGCGCTCTGTCACACAGACAGCTGTTTGTCCTGCGGGAGGAGAAACCCGGCCACCTTCCACCCGCTGTTCGAGGGGGGCCTCTGCCAGACGTGCAGGGTAAGTGCTGCCGTGCTGGGGCTGAGCGGGAGCCTGGGGCCAGAGGATGGGGTGCAGAGTCCAGCCCCGCTGCAGCCAGCGCTGTTGGGACAGGAGGGGTGACGCTGCCAGATCCTGGCCGTGCTGGGTCCACCGCGGGGCTGCCCCTCGGCATGTTCTCTCCACTTGAAGCACCGAGGATGTGCATCTCCGAGCTCTCAGCGTGCACCAGGGATGGAGCAAAGCTGCGTTCTCTGGTCACGCTCTGAGCACGGATCCTGATCCTCTGTCCTTCTCTCCTCCCGGCTGTCCTTTCGCTAGGATAGATTCCTGGAGCTCTTCTACATGTACGACGAAGACGGCTACCAGTCCTACTGCACCGTCTGCTGCGAAGGCAAGGAGCTGCTGCTCTGCAGCAACGCCAGCTGCTGCAGGTGGGCCCCGTCTCTGCTCCTCCGGCTGGGCTCCCAGCAGAGCTGGGAAGCGGGGTCGCGCGTGCGCCTGGGCAGGGCGCTGAGCTGGCGCCCAGCTGGCTGCCGCACAGCCCACCCGTCCCCGCTGAGCCATCCTGCACCTGAATAAGCCCTGGGGAGGATGGCAGGAGCTTTACCCGCGCCCGGGTCACCACCTTGTGTTAGCAGCCTTAAAAACCAGCATACTGCCTGGAAGAACATCCTACAAAATGGGGTGGGGGCTCCGGTGCATGGCAGGGGAGACTCCAGGAGAGGCTGGGGTGGCTCCGGGGGGTTTCTGGAGGTGACGGGCATGAGGTGTTATGGTTTGGGCAGGTGCTTCTGTGTGGAGTGTCTGGAGGTGCTGGTGGGACGAGGGACATCGGCCAAGGCGAAAGAGCAGGAGCCCTGGAACTGCTACATGTGCCAGCCCCAGAGGAGCTACGGGGTGCTGCAGCGCCGGCAGGACTGGAACACCCGCCTGCAGGACTTCTTCACCAGCGACAAGGGACAGGAATACGTAAGGGCTGCGGGCAGACAGCGGGCGCTGGGCTTTGGGGGAGAGGGCCGCAGAGGGCAGGGCGAACAGCTCAAAATTCCTCCTCCCTCTGTCTTGGTCTCGCTCATCCACCCTCTCCCAGGGCGCTGGGCTCTTGGCCCCACAGATGCTCCCCTGAAGGTGGAGGTGGTGCCTGTAGGGCCAAGGTTTGGCCTCGTAGAGCATCGCAGTGCTGCCCAGAGCTGGGGCTTCAGTGCTGTCCTTCCATTGCAGGCTGCGCCCAAAGTCTACCCAACGGTGCCACCAGCGAAGAGGAGACCTATTCGAGTGCTCTCTTTATTTGATGGCATAGCAACGGGTGAGGCACTGAAGAGCACCGTCCTGGCGGCTTGCAGCACTGGTGTCGGGATGAATAGTTTCATGGCCTCAGACCTGTCTCTGAAAGCTTGGTGGGGAGCAGGGGATGAGGGGCAGGGGGATCCCCATCAGAAGGGTGTGAGGGCAGGGGCTCCCCTTCCTGCTGGACAGGGCTGGGGAGGAGGTGGGCATGGAGGGAGGGCACGGGAATTTTGCCTGCAGAGGCTCCTGCTGTGCTGAGTGCCATCTCGGGTGCTGGTTTCACTGAGAAGCAAGAGCTGGGGGAGTGCTGGTAGCCTGGCCTTTGGTGGAGACGTGCCTGAGGGCAACTGGTTTGACTCGGTTCACTCAGCTCTGGAGTTGTGCTTTCTGGGAGCAAACCTGCCTGGAGGAACGGGTCAAAGAATGGTTTGCTCATCCAGAAGTCCTGTGAGACTGCAACCACCTAGGACGTGCAAGAGTGGCCACGTCGAGCTTCTGTGCTGACGAAGGAGACTGGGAGACTAAAGAGAGCAGTGCAACCTCAGACCTCTGTCCCTTGGCAGGGTACCTGGTGCTGAAGGACTTGGGCATCCAAGTGGAGAAGTACATCGCCTCGGAGATCTGTGAAGACCCCATCGCTGTGGGCACCATGCGGCATGAGGGCAACATCACCTACGTGCACGACGTCAGGAACATAACCAAGAGAAACGTGAGCGCTGCTGCTGTGGGGGGGCCGGGGAGCGCGGCACTGTGGCTGCGTGGGTCTCACCCCGCCAGCCCCGGGACGGGCTTGCCCCCTGCGCTGCCGGGGAGGAGACACTCACTCACGTGGCGTCTCCTAACTGGGTCTGTCCATTCGCTCTAGATTGAGGAGTGGGGTCCCTTTGACCTGGTGATCGGTGGAAGCCCCTGTAACGACCTCTCCCTTGTCAATCCGGCCAGGAAGGGGCTGTACGGTAAGGCTGCGTTACCTCCGCAGGGCTGGGTGCCCCCGGGGGGTTCCTGCGGTGCGGAGCCGCCTGAAAGCCCAGGGAGG